GCATCGTAGTCGGCATCGTCAGTGAGTATCGCCATTCTTAGCACCACACAACAACTCGTCAAAGAGACCATACCCGTGGCCACAACATCTTGGTCTTCACATCTTCAATTTTGGGGATGTTTTCTCTTTGTACTAAAGTGTATGATGAAGATATTCGTACTGCCGTCGTCTGACTTTTATATGCATTTCTGGCTGGCGAGGTTGACAAAACATACTGCCTCGTTTCGGGCGGAAACGAACTGAGCTTTCGAACCCACTTAGCCCCCTCAGAGGGAATCAAACTCTTTTTACAGGAGCCTAATGTTGTAGATATGACAAACATGTGCTTTGCCATTACAATCGACCATGTTACTTATACTCACATAAAGTATGTTTTGAAGTAAAACTATCTGAATATGACCTGTTGAACTTATCCTCGTGTCAAGGTGACAAGCCCTACTCCTGCTCTGCCTGCGGAGCCGCGTTCACTCAGGGCTCCTCGTTGAAGCTGCATATCAAGTCACGACACAACGACAACAACACCTACTTCTCTTTGACCCGAAAGCCGGGCAAAAACAATCTGACCAAAATGTGGACTCGAGTGTTGAAACGCGATCTTCCTCGCTACACGTCTGGCCTCTTCTCGACGGCCCATTTGGCCTCGCTGGCCGCCAGCCTATTGGCTGGTGGATCCTCGGGGCCCCCGATGCATGGGCTCGAAGCGCAGGCCCTCTCCGCCATCTGGTCCCAGCTCGGCATCGGCCTCCCCTCCGGCTTGCCCCTCCTCGGCGCCCCCACCGGAGCTGCTCCGGCCTGCGCCCTGTCCGACCCCGGTTGGCACGGCAACCGGCCGGCCAGACCTAAACACCCAGTCAACTCGCATCACCAACACCAACACCAGCATCAGTCTGATCCCGACCCCGAGACCGCGCATGGGGCACGGAGTCAGGCGCCTGAGACCGGTGTTTTCACGGACTTCCTGTTGGCCAGTATCAAAACGGAATTCGAGCCGGTCACCAACCCGCCTGAAAGCGGCCTCAGCGACGACAGGGTCTGCAATCAGGCTCTGACCGGCGCGATTCCCGAGGCAGATCGGCTGATGGAGACCCACGCCACGGCAACATCTGCCACCTCCTCTCAGATCAGAGTCTTTCCAGCCTCCATCGAGGTGCCCCTGTCGTCGACGTCGGCGTCGGCG